GTTAAACGAATACCCATAGTGGCTTTAAGTATGCCGTATACGGCAAACCCACCTGCTAAAGCCAGTAAAATGGCAAGTGAGGTACCAATAAGCTGAGACATCAAGGATACTCCGCCGATTCCCCCCAACCACTGCTGACCAAATATGCCCACAGCAATACCACCAAATGCACCACAAACGCCATGTAATGGCCAAACCCCGAGTACATCATCAATCTTGAGTTTATTTTGTGTGTATGTGAACAGTTTAACAAACAGAAAACCTGCACAGATACCAATAAATAAAGCGCCAATTGGGTGAACAACATCAGAACCTGCACAGATTGCCACTAAGCCTGCTAAGGGGCCATTATGTAAAAAGCCAGGATCTTCTTTTCCAAAGAAATTTGCAGAAAGCGTACCGCCTACCATTGCCATGAGTGAGTTCATTGCAACTAAACCTGAGATTGCATCTAAGCGTTGAGCACTCATGACATTAAAGCCAAACCAGCCAACAATTAAGATCCAAGAACCGAGCGCTAAGAAAGGAATAGAAGAGGGTGGATGCGCACTAACGCGACCATCCTTTTTATAACGTCCATTACGCGCACCGAGTAGTAACACTGCTGCAAGCGCAATCCAGCCGCCCATTGCATGGACCACAACAGAGCCAGCAAAATCATGGAAGCTTGCGCCAAACGTATCCGCTAACCACTTTTGTAGGCCGAGATTACCATTCCATGCGATCCCTTCAAAAAAAGGATAAACCAGCGCTACTATAAACAGAGTTGCAATGGCTTGAGAACGCATTTTGGCACGTTCTGCAATGCCGCCAGAAACAATGGCGGGAATTGCTGCAGCAAAGGTCAAAAGGAAAAAACAACGCATCAAATTGTAGCCATGCTCAGTTGAAAGCGTAGCACCTGTATGAAAAAAATGTTGTCCATAGGCAATGTAGTAACCGACAAAGAAGTAGGCGATTGCTGAGATTGAAAAGTCAGTAATGATTTTACTGAGTGCATTGACTTGATTTTTATGGCGAACTGTTCCCAGCTCTAAAAAAGCAAAGCCAGCATGCATAGCGAGTACAAGCACTGCGCCAAGCAAGAGAAAGAGTAGATCAACGTTTTGCATATACGATTCTTTTTGGTGCTATTTGTCACAAATTGGTTCAAGTATAACCAACGATTTGAATCCGTGAAGCGTTTGGCTGTATGAAAAAATAGATCAACAATTTCAAAATATTATTAAGACTCGATATAAAGCAAAAGCATGCACTAAATTGGAATTTATGCACTAACTTGATGCAATAAGATATTCTGGCTTATTTTTAAGGTACTGATAATTATTGTTTTTTATTTGTTGTGTTTCACCTTAAACCCATGCAGTCAAATTTTAATCTAAAAATAAACCGATAAAATGTTTTAACTAAAATTAAAAAATAACTTAATGATCAATTTTTGGAAACACCCAGACTGCAAACTTGATTTTTGTATTCGAAACGGTTTCTTTGAAATTTTTGACCGTTCCATCTATACACAGCAAAGCATTTAGTTGAGTCATTGATGGCAATATCTGGCCAACCATGTTTTCCTAAAGTAGATAGAAATTCAGGCGTCCCATGACTGTTAAATATTCTCACCCATTGTTTATTGGTCTGTTGGGTAACAATATAAAATCCAATTCCTGTGTTTGCGTAGCAACCGACACCACCATCGACTACAACGGCATCAGGACGACCATCTTTATTGAGATCACCATAATAGGAGATATTGCCAAGGCTACAGCGGCTTTCCCAGCCAAGATTGGTTTTTTGAAACTTTGCGCTTTTAAAAATTTGTGTTGCCGTTTCCTCAGGGACTTGCGGAGCCGCGGCATAATTATGTGAAGCTAAAAATAGTGATAAAACACCACTGCTGAATATTATTATATTTTTCATCATCATATCGATTATTTTGTGATTGAATTAACATTATTTTAAAAATATGTATTTTTATCAAGCTTTTGTTGTCATGCTAATGTATTCATCTTCTGGTTTAAGCTGTATCTTAGGGCTATTTAACTTATATCATTATAAATTTCAAATGGTTGGTGTGTTAGTGTATGATTTAATGAGTTGTAAATAAATGTTTAATATAAAATCAATTTGCGATTAAACGATCAATGAAGTGTATAAAAATGATGGTGTCTAAAACATATTCCAATTTTTTAGTGTATTTGATGGCGTTCTTTGGTTTCTGTCTTTTTACTGAAGCAGTGAGTGCTCAGTCCAATCAATATAAAATCTATAAATCTAAACTGTTGCAGTGTGGAGAAGCAACTTTTCAAGTTATTTCACAATGTGATGATTCTAATGAGGATACAGAGTTAGGTAGTGCGGGTTCTTTTCGAGCATCATGTTTATCCAGTCAATTAACGGTAAACTGGAAAGGTCAGCAAAAGACACTGAGTTTTCCCATGGCAACAACACAGCAGAAGAAAATATTAGCTAGCAAAGGCTATGCTTTAAAACCTGAGATCAGAGTAGGGGATTGGTCGCCACAGAGTTTAGCTTGTGGTCAAGCGGCTGGTATTGAGGGGCATTTTGTGGTGGTCAATCAGGCAACCACCAACGATATTAATCAAGAGTATCACGGCAAAGGTTCATTGAGTGATGAACCCATTTTGCTGAATTTAAACGGGACTTTTACCAGTGAAACACTTAAAGCGAAAATCTATGCTTTATTAAAGCAAGACCAAGTGAAGATTTCTAAAGTCATTGGTGCAAATGCAATTTTTGCGGATGAAAAATAGATTTAACAAAGATAAATCCGTTTAATTTTGTCATCTGTTAAGAAAAAGGCAGATGCAGCACAGGTTTCTTCGAGGACATTGACTGAAACACCATCACCGTTAAACTTTAAATAATGTTTAGGATCAATCTGTTCGTTAGCAATAATATCGCCATTTTCTCCAAAGCGATATTCTTCATCAACATAAATATTTGTTTTAGGTGCGACTTCGAACTTAGCAAAAATATCTAAATCATCATCTTCTTCATTATTTTGATAGTAATAAACTTTATCACTGTCCGAAATACGGAATTCAAACAGATATTTCATGCCTTTTTT